CAAAATTAAACCATTTTTTAAATTTTGTATTAATTTCCTTTAACTGCTTTGACGTAAAGGGGTTGAGTTTGACTGGTGGCAAATCACTAACATGAACGGTGTTCATGCATGTCGCCCAGTATTTTAAACGGGATAACTGCTCACGCCAGAGTAACTGATGCTTTAGGTGCAAATCACAGTCTTGGTATATCACGTATGAAGTGAATTTGTGACCTGTACACAATACAGTGCAATCCATGAGATTGGAAAAGAAAATAACGATTAATATTTTACTATGCAAAGATGGCAATGGCAGTCATGGTCTAATTTTAGTTTGCTTCGTTTAACCACCACGCCAACAAAGTCTGACACGAAATCAGTTCACAGAGACATAGCATGTGAGGAATCATCACTCCACTCGACACCATAAATTTTATTTCTGTTCAGAAGTTTCGTCACCATCCCTCAGAGGTAAAGCAGCCAAGACGAAACAGGCATGTGTCATTGTCACCTCTCCAGATTTATACGACATAATCATGCCCTCCCTTTGCTCGTACAGGCTTAAGGAGCCCTTTAAGTACTGTGGCTAGTGAAAGCAATATGCCTTAAATATATCTTGTTATAAAAATATACCACAACAAAAAGAACGCTCTTCCGAGTCCGACGTTTATGACAGTTTACACTGTCTTTTACTAGAAAATTGTAGTATATCAACGCTGAAATAACGGTCTTCCTTCCGCTTCCTGATTGGGCTATCTTGCAGTACTAAACTTCGTTCCTTTGCCATCCGCCAGGAGTGCCTTATTTTTAAAGGCAGAGTCAACAATTGCGTGACAAGCGTAGCACGTAGCCTCTTCATTCCTTCTCACAGAGTGGTACTCACCTATCCACTGCGGAAGTGAAGAAGAACCATTGACTCTTACCGGGTTTGAACTCTTGACTTATCGGTTCTGAGTTCGACGCACCAACGACTGAGCAACCCCGCAGCAATGCGTGGTAAATTTCCTGTTCTTAGGAAAATTCATGAATAAGAAAAAGATAATCCTCAATTGAAACTGAACTTCGAACCTCTGGTGCTCGAAGCAGATCTCTTAGACAACTGTGCTAACGCAAGCCTTTACCAGACCAGGAGACTCGGTAAGGAATCCAGACAAGCAGAAACGTACATCTGCACAAATTTATTTTTCAGTTAGACTCACTGAGGTCCTTTCTTAGCCTAGTCTATATTACTTTCTATAGAAATACCGCTGCGCACTGATAGCAATATTGTTTTTTCAAAACGAATAAATTTTATTTATTTTTTCTTCTCTTCTTTATAAAATGGCTAGAACGGATGTATTGGAGAAGAAACTCATGATCAAGAACGAAAGTTAATTCCGAAAAGTTAGCGTCGATTCAGCATCATGAGATTTGTAGCACCAAAAAATTTAAAGTATTTTGTTAGTAGGCTGATTGCCGTACGCGGAAAGAAATGGCATAAAAACAGTTTAAGTATACAACACACAATCTAGTGGTGTATTGAGTGATAGGTATCTAAGTTCAGAAGCGGTTAATCAACCGATAGACCACAATACTGGATGGTGCATATATAAAAGATCATTGTGTTGTTTCCTCAACTTAGTCACAAGCGTGACATGTAGGACTTTCTTCGTGTTACATAACAACGAATACATTATGTGAGAAATTCATAAGATTTGATCACATAGGTGATAATCAAGATGCTAAACAGGAAGGCAAATTTCAGATCATAACTTCCTCGATATCG